GTTGGTACTGAGACTGTTGTGTCTGTTGCACTACTGGTATGGGAGTAGCCGATTGACCTTGCGCACCTTGTATGCAAGCAGCGGCGCACAGAGGCATGCAGATCGGAATGCATTGCGTTTGACCAGAGTTTTGTACAGGCTGGTTCTGAAACTGTGGCTGTTGTTGATCTTGCGTTTGTAGCTGTGGTTGTATTTGGTATGGGGGCTGTTGTTGTTGCTGAGGCTGAAATTGCTGCTGTGGTTGGAACTGTTGCTGTGGCTGAGGCTGGGGTTGATACTGAAGCTGTTGTTGTGGTTGTTGTTGTTGAGCCTGAATTGGCTGTGATTGACACGTGCAAGTACCGGTACAGATGCATAAGGGGGCGCAACAATTACCACTCTGTCTTCTTTTCACTTCCTTGGTCAAGCTTTTTTCCTGTAACAAGAGCTGTTAAATAGTAATAAGTTTAAAAGTTGGAAAAAATTGATACATTTTGAGTAAAATTTACTTTGATTTTACCTTAAATTTTTATTGTTTTGCAAATGAATTGTGCAATGGTAACAGTGAGTACGCATAAAGTAGTAAAATAGTAATTTTTATCATTGTTTATAAAATCATATAGCAAATTTGAGATCACCTGCTTAGCAAAAGCATTGATGACGAGGGTTGTTGCAATGAGAAGACAGAGAAGGTTTGCCATTGCTGAATGGTTGTCTTGGGACTGTCGCACCTTTTTTTATATGGAATGAACAGAAGCCGGTTTCTTAGATATCCGCGTCAAATACAAACAATTCAGTGTGCTGATACTGATTTGTCGCTTTTGGCCGGTTTGAAGGCAAAAAAAAAAGTTGTGTTTTTTACTTTTTTTTATTTTTTTATTTTTTTTTTTTAACTTTTTTTGAGCGTTAATAGAGAATGATAATAGTTTAGGTTTGGCTGTTAAACAGAAACTGTAATTTGTTCGCTTAGTTCTTCCTGAGAAATGTCAATGTACAGTTCGTTTAACAAAAATGCTGTTGTAAAACTGATGCCGCTAACGATGGTAATTGAATAAAAAAAAAATTCTTTTTAAAATTTTGATCGTATGACTTTTGATAAATATAAAAAAGTTTTTTTTTGTCTTTCGGGAGAAAAGTTGATGTCAATCATTTTAACTGCAAAAATATATTTGTGGGTTAAGCTTTTTCAAGGTGAACTGATACTAACTGTGTCATTATCGGTTATCAGTAATTATGAGAATAAGAAATTTTTTTTTCAAAATAATAGTTTTTCAGCTGTATCAATCTAATCTTTCATTGCTCTCTTTTATCGGGGAATGCAACATTGTAGCGTTAGAAATGTGAACATATATGCTTAAAGTGATGCTCAAATCGTTCCGTTTAAAGCAAAAAAACTGAGAAAGAACTTTATTTGCTTTGTTTAAGTTTAATAATATATTTGTTAAGTTTTGTTAAAGTTTAATAGAAATAGAGAGCAGAGATGGTTTTTCTTCAGTATTTTTTTGTCATAAAACGATAAATTTTTATAAAGTTACTGTAATTAAAAAAGATTATTGGTTTTCAGTCTTTCTTCGGAAAAAAAAATTTTTTTTATTTCTTTTTTCTGTTATTAATGCTAAGGGCACTTTTAGGCCTTTTTCTACAATGTAATAACAAAGACAAAGAAAGGCACTCAAATTATTTGCATAAATTTTCAGTAGGCACATAATAATTTGGTTAGTTTGAAACTGCTTTTACACATTTTTTTCGGCCTGCTGTATTGTTGTTTTGATTGTCGACAGCAGTAGTAAAATGGTACTGCTGCTTCAATGGGCAATCCAGCAATTGCTATTGTTGATTGATGGCAGGATCAGGATATAATCTGCTTAAGCCAAGTAACATTTTGGTCAGGTCTTTGAATTTTCATCTTCATATGCTTCTTTACACAGACACAGATAGACAGACAGATAAAAAAAAAAAAGACCGCTTTTTTTTTTTTGCATTTTTTCTGATTGTTGGTTTATTGCCGGCAAGAATTGTAGAAAAAAAAAATTAATGAATCTTTTAGTTATTGCCACCCGAATAGTACATCACCAAATAGACCGGACAGTAATCAAATCCTGCAACTGTTGTGGCAAAACGTTTTTCTTTTTTTTTGTTTGTTTCTGTTTTTATTTCTCGGATATGCTAAAAATGGCTATCGGCTGACGTCAAGCAGCTATACTAAAAAGATTTTTTGAAAATAATTTCTGGAAAAAAAACATATAGTTTTTAAAGAATTCAATACAGTTATTTTTTAAAATTTTTTGTTCTATTTTGTTTCACAATTTACTACTTGTCTGATTAACATTATTCATTGATCGACAAAGACTTTGAAATAAGAAAAAAAAAAAAAAGCTGGACAGCAACATCAATGACAACAACAACTGCATATCTTCATTAACTTTTATTTCTTGAATAGTCTGCTAAAGAATTTGGTTAAGAAAAAAAACCAACAACAATAGAAGAAGTTTGTTTAACAAAATAAAAAAAAGTTGCAGAAAAAGCAGAATTTTTTAGCGAAAAAGAAAATTATGTTTGCTTAACAGTTATAAAAGATAAACACCTTTTTTTTTTCTTTTTTTTTTGTTTTTGGTTTTTTTTTTTTTACTTTCTGCATTATTTATTGCCTCATCAAATGGTTTTGAAAATTGTTTTATTGTAGATTTAAGAAAAAAATTTCAAACATTGTACAATCTGGCTGCTGTTAGACTGTTATGTTAACAAGTCTTGGTCTGATCTACGAACTGCAGAAGTTAGAATTCCAAATTTTACTGAATCTATCAACGCATTATCGTGCAACAAAATTTCTTCAACAATTCTGCTATGCTTAGTTTGATGCAGGATACCTATCACTGATATTTGATGTAAGACTGTAGTGACAAAGTGCAGAAGAAAATAGAGCAGTTATAAAGAATTATAAATATCTGATACTTATGCAAACTGATTTGCTAAAATAAGCATAAATTTAATGCTATGATCCTCTTTTCTGTGACCATTTACCTTTAGGAACAGCTCAATTGTCTGTTCAACAGCGTCATTAAAATACCTCAAAAAATATTTCCGCTTCTTGAAATTGCAACATTTTTGGCAACAATTTTGCGAAGAACTGTTGATTTTCTTTTCTTCTTTTTTTTTTTTTTTTTTTTTTTTTT